GATTCTCATTGAAGTGCAAATATATAGAGTGTCAAACATGTATTGTCTTAGGGTTAGATTAAAATTATAATGAAAATTAAATTTTCTAATAATTTGCCCCCACTCATTTTTTTTAAATGGAACTAAAAACTTAGCCTCAAAGGTTCGCTCGACGAACTTAATCCCACAATTTTTTCTTTAATTTCTAGTTATCTTTATTCCTTCAACAATGATTCACTTAGGATACCAAATCAATCTTTCTTCGAATTTGATTACTAAGACAAAGATTAATATTTTATGTATATATAAACATTTGATGAAACTAAGCGATAAAATTTAATGGATTTGAATATGGATTATAAAAATGAAAACAGTTGAATAATTAAATTAGATTCAAAATAGAGTTTTTAAAACAAATTGACATTCAGATAAGTTGAAATTTTATCATTGACAATCCCAATGGAAAAGTGATATATCAAAATAGCATTCTCCATGAAAACTGTTTTTATTCTAATATTGTATACAAAAAAAAAAAAATTATATTATTTTTTCTTTGTCAAGTCTTACCTTTTTCATGTACATTTATATGTGAAATCTTTGAAAGTAAAAAAAAATAATCTCAAGCTTAATTTATAAAAAGTGTTAGATTATGAATATTTTTCTATAGAGAATAAAATTTTGAGAAAACAATTATGTTCACTAGATGGAACGAATTTTGATAATTGTTGTGTAATCATTCACTTTAACCTAATGGTTGTCCCCATTGAAATGAGACTCTGGCTTTGCCCCTGAGGAAAAATTACAATCTTTCAAGGTAAAACTACTACATTTGGATGTGAGGATACAATCATTTGAGATTAAATTACAACTTGTAAAGATACAGTTATCACCTTTAGAAGTGAGGGATAAGCTCTTTAAGTGAGGTTAGAACCGCAAAATTGTCACCTTTTAAAGGTGAGGTTATAATCATTTGAAACTGAGTTATAGTCTATAGAGGTTAAGTTACAATCTTCCGACGTAAAGTTATAATCATTTATTGTAAAATTACTCCGAACTTACAATCTTTTAAGATACTGTTACCACTTTTAGAGACAAAAATTACCACTGGTAAAATTATAACTTTTAGAAGAAAATTTACAACCTATCACATTTAGTGGGTTCCATTTTATGGCAGAAACTTTGTGCTCAATTGACAACACACAATTATTAGGGTACGGTACTAACCAGTGTTATCAGAACTAGACCGGTTCAATCGTGAATCAGGACCTTGACCGGTCCGGTTCCGTAATTGGACCTCTTAAGGAAGAAAACTGGCTAAAAACCATAAAATTGGGCAATTCTTTAAAAAAAACCGTGAACTGACGGTTTTATAAAAATCGGCCGATTTAATACCAAGTTAAAAATTAAATTACATAAAATTAAAAACTCAAGTTATTGCCCGTAGAACAGTCCAAAAGAAGGCCAAGCGACTTCGGCGAACTGAGACTGCAATCGATCAGTCATTGCCATCGATCATCCACTGCGAACAAGCGAACTCAGGCAAGATTTTTGGGTTAATTTTGACTTTGTCGACATTCAAAAACCCTAACTTTTGTCAAGATTCGACATTCAAAGAACTCAGGCAAGATTTTTGGGTTAATGTCATCTGATGATGCACAAAAATGGTTTTTCACACCACATGTCAAGTATAGATAATAAATGCAATGAAATCAACGAGAAAATTAGAGAAGACACAATTTATAGTGGTTCGGTCAATTCGACCTACGTCCACTCTTCAATGGCTTCAGTCGCCGGGTATTTTATTGATTCAAAGGTATGGAGAATGGAGATACAAGCTTTGAGAGGGAGAATGGAGAATCAAAGAAAATAGTAATCTCCGGTAGTCGGTTCGTCTTCTGTAAGTCTCTGATGGAGCATGTGTCCTTCTCTCTACCAGATTGGAGCTATTTTATATCAGCTAAGAGATCATTCTTGTGGAGATCATGACATATCCTCAAGGCTTCTTTATCGCAGCTAAGAGATTATTCTTGGTGGAGATCACGACTTATCCTCAACGGAAAGAGGAGGTTGGGGAGCTATTCATGAAACGTGGTCAAAGATTGGACCGTTTCCTTCGGTGGTACAGATAAGCTTCCCGTGCTCTCCTCTTGGTGACGTGCTAAGCAAGAAGTCTAATCGACCTTGGACTAAGCTTCTCGTGCTCTCCTCTTGATGACGTGCTAAACAAGAAGTCTAACTGGTCTTGGACTGTCTTGGGCTTGGTAGAATCACAATAAGGTTGGGCTCCTCAACTGGGGTTGGACTTTAACACATAAATTGGACTATTTGGGCTTAACCCATCATCATCCATTGCGAATGTCATCAAAGATTTTTGGGTTTTTTTGAATGTCATCCATTGGGATCGATCATACCCATTGTTGAATTTTGTATGAAATTAATTTTAAAAACCAACTTGATTTTTGGATTTTTTTTTTAAGAATTACCTAATCAAGGTAAGTATGAGATTATTACTATTGGTCATGGATTTAAGATATTCGCCATTATTGGGAATTCAATTGAAATAGTGATCTTTTCCTTGGGTTGGAATACCGAGTTATTGATTACCCAAAGAAAATAGTCTAGGGATTTAGGTATGTGATTTTCATTTGTAACCAAGATTATTATCATCCAACGGGCCTAAGAGGATCAGTTATACTGGATTGATCCATGTTAAATTGCATGTGGTCCTAGGCAATGTTTTTGAATGCATTTGAATTGTCCGTAGAAGGTGTTTCTTTTATTTAACTTCATTAATTTTATGACAAATTATATGCATTTGAGACATATTTTATATTTTTAAGTTAAATTATTATATTTTATAATTATTATATATATTTTTTATTTTTTTATTTTATAGCCAGTCCGACCATTGATCCACCGATTGAACCAGTGAATCATTGACCCAGTTCCCTAGTCGATTCGATGTCTGATCCAGTTCCGATAACATTAGTACTAACATTTAGCTTGTCGGTACCAAAGACTTTCCCCACTTTTGAATGACTTAGAAGCAAAATCGAAGTACCCATGTAGCATTTGGTGTTGATGTTTTGGAGAAGAAGAGAGGGAAAAAGAATGATATGGTGCCGGGAATGACTAAAAACAGGTCATGCAAATGAATGAGATGAATAGAATAAACTATGAAGGAATGCAAGTAATAGCATAAGATTTTGGGGATAAGGACGCTCAAATCTCTTGACATTTGTCCCTTAATCACTTCTGTTTTTTAATATTTAAAATATTATACATAAATTCTTTGTATTTTATACATGCGTAACACTTAAATCCATGTTGTGAATGTCCATTAATAAATTACACTTAGATCTATTGAAGTTTATAAAATATATAATATTTAGATTTTTTAAGTTTAAAATATTACACTTAGACTAAAAATACTCCAATTAAAAATAAAATATCAAATATTTTAAATTTTATAATTAAAATTTATGTTATATTATGTCATTTATTATAATAAAATTAAAAAAAATCTAATTTTTTCTTAAAAATTATAATTAATATACAATTATACTATCTATTAGAATAAAATTAAATAACTAAACCATAATGAACACAATATTTTATATCTTTAATTGGGATAATTTGATCGTTTAATACATTTCATTAGTTTTGTAACTAATAAAGGTTTAAGCGTGATATTTTTGATTTAAAGGGTTTAAGTATTATATACATATAAATTTTGTAATTTGGTAACAAATATTCTAATGGATATTGCCAATATGAATTTAAGTGTTACAGGCATAAAAATTTTAAGAAATTTCTTTATAATATTTTAAAATTTTCAAATATCAAGAGATCTAATTAACTAAGAAATAATTATCAAGCACTTTGACTGTAATTCTCCCAATTTTTTCTTTTTTTTTGGTTTGTTATTTTGTTGTTTTGGGTTGTGTGTGTGTGGGGGGGGGGGGGGGGGGNGGGGGGGGGGGGGGGGGGGGGGGGGGGGGGGGGGGGGGGGGGGGGGGGGGGGGGGGGGGGGGGGGGGGGGGGGGGGGGGGGGGGGGGGGGGGGGGGGGGGGGGGGGGGGGGGGGGGGGGGGGGGGGGGGGGGGGGGGGGGGGGGGGGGGGGGGGGGGGGGGGGGGGGGGGGGGGGGGGGGGGGGGGGGGGGGGGGGGGGGGGGGGGGGGGGGGGGGGGGGGGGGGGGGGGGGGGGGGGGGGGGGGGGGGGGGGGGGGGGGGGGGGGGGGGGGGGGGGGGGGGGGGGGGGGGGGGGGGGGGGGGGGGGGGGGGGGGGGGGGGGGGGGGGGGGGGGGGGGGGGGGGGGGGGGGGGGGGGGGGGGGGGGGGGGGGGGGGGGGGGGGGGGGGGGGGGGGGGGGGGGGGGGGGGGGGGGGGGGGGGGGGGGGGGGGGGGGGGGGGGGGGGGGGGGGGGGGGGGGGGGGGGGGGGGGGGGGGGGGGGGGGGGGGGGGGGGGGGGGGGGGGGGGGGGGGGGGGGGGGGGGGGGGGGGGGGGGGGGGGGGGGGGGGGGGGGGGGGGGGGGGGGGGGGGGGGGGGGGGGGGGGGGGGGGGGGGGGGGGGGGGGGGGGGGGGGGGGGGGGGGGGGGGGGGGGGGGGGGGGGGGGGGGGGGGGGGGGGGGGGGGGGGGGGGGGGGGGGGGGGGGGGGGGGGGGGGGGGGGGGGGGGGGGGGGGGGGGGGGGGGGGGGGGGGGGGGGGGGGGGGGGGGGGGGGGGGGGGGGGGGGGGGGGGGGGGGGGGGGGGGGGGGGGGGGGGGGGGGGGGGGGGGGGGGGGGGGGGGGGGGGGGGGGGGGGGGGGGGGGGGGGGGGGGGGGGGGGGGGGGGGGGGGGGGGGGGGGGGGGGGGGGGGGGGGGGGGGGGGGGGGGGGGGGGGGGGGGGGGGGGGGGGGGGGGGGGGGGGGGGGGGTTTTTTTTTTGTGGGGGGTGGGGGGGGGGGGGGGGGGGGGGGGGGGGGGGGGGGGGTTTGAAAGGAGAGACCTGGATGGTTTTGCCAACGTTGAGAGGGGTGGCTTCAGCGAAGATAAGGTCGCCGAGAGGGGCAGCCTTGAGATGGTTGATAGTGAGTTGTATACCGGCCACCCTCTGCAACCCTGATGCCATGTGAGCTCCTATGCTTGCTAGTGCCTCCGCTATCAGTGCCGACACGCCTCCGTGCAACACCTTGAACGGCTGAAGCAAAAAAAATAAAAGGAATAATAAAACACTACATTGACCAAAAACACGGGATCATGATATACATATACATTAATAATGTTTTAAGTATTTTTATAGAACCTTTGTAAAAGTTTAGTACTGCGACCAACCCACAACTGTTTGTGCTTACACAGTGTAAACAAAGACATATTGATTAAAGAGTAAATTAAAGCCAATCAAACAACCTGACAACATTTGTCGGTAACCTGAAGGCGTCCGGTGACCTTCTGCGGTGACAGTTCTTCAATCTCAAACCCAAATACGTGCAGTGGAGTATCCACGGCTTCCGTCTTCGATGCAGCCGGAGATTGCTGCCCTCCTCCTGGTGGGGCTGAAAGCTTCATCTCTCTCTCTCGGGATGAGGAATCAATAATGTAGAGCTTCGACCGGTGGATCGAGATCAATGCGTGCTTTTACAGCTGATGGGGATTGACCTTGACCGGTCCATTCCAGTAAAAGTGTATTTTTTATTCTGAAAGATAAATTATAATTTATACCCTTAAAATATGCACTTAATATCTCTTTAGTTCTTGAAATTTCAATTGCAGCAATTAAGTTTTTAGAATTATATTTGAGTTTTAATTTAGTCTTTATATTAAAATTTCTCATTTTATTATAACGGAATGGTCTTTTGTGATCAACATATCTTGGAATAAAGTGGTATGTTTATGTGGTAAAAAATCTAAAAAATTTTATTTTATTTTATTTCATTTGATTTTAAGAGAGAAAATAACAAATATAAAAAAATATAGAGTGAAAATTTAAGATATAGTATGAGATAAATAGATAAATATCGATGCATTTGAACTAGATATTTCGTGTTGGACAAATATACCCTTATAGCCAAGTTCTATATACTCTTATAAAGCATCTCCAAGAGAGAAACTAAAATACACAAAAATTTTTAAAATTTAGCTATATTACCCTAAAATTTCACTCCAATGGAATATCTCTAGAGCATCTAAATTAGCATATTTAATAATCGTGTCGATATATCTAAATACTAACCTGACATGATCATTAAATGGGTTACTCGAATCCCACATATTTGACACGTTTAATAAAAAAGTTGTTTTCGGATTAATACATATAATATGATCTATTTAACTTGTTTAACACATATTTGTTTAACACACATAATTTGTTTCTACATCAATTCATTACCATTAAATATATTATTCGATCATTTATCCAAAATTTCAAATAAATTTTTTATAAATAATATATCACATATCATCAATAAAATTAACTAAAATGTATTCAAGCTTCAACCAAAAAATTAAAACAAGAACTATATTAATATACTGTTATAATAATGTTAATATCACATCAATCATATATAATAGGTAAACTATACTATTATAAACTAGTTAAACGGATTTATAATGAGTTAGGTCAGATTCGTGTCCGAATTATGTCAACTCGTTTAAAATACAATATTTTACTAATATAATTCATTGTAGTCATTGAATAGCACCAATTCCCAACTAATATTGATATTGATAAAATAAGTTACGTAAGCGAATGAAAATGTCATATTACAATATTTTTAATGTATTGGATGTTCAATACAAAAAATTAATTTTTAAGTGTACAAAATAATTTTTTAAAAGTTTTTAGGGTACAAAGTATAATTCTACCTTATTTTTCTTTTAACAACTTTCGGTTGATTTGTCTCTATCAAGGCTGAATCCAGCGGCCGGCATTTTGTTCTCATTAAGCCAAAAATGTTTATCTAATCGGTAGCAAGACTCTCTCAATTAGGGGTGGCTCGGGATGAGTGATTTTATGTCGAATTGGTTTCGAGATTATGTCGAAAATTTTAAAACTCAAATTTAGCATGTTTAATAATCGTTTTGATATGTCTAAACAGTAACCTGACATGACCATTAAATGAATTATTTGAACCTTACTTGTTTGACACGTTTAATAAACAGGTTGTTTTCTGATTAATATATATAAAATGATATGTTTAACTTGTTTAACACATATAACACAGATTTTTTTAACACACATAGTATGTTTCCACACTAATTCATTACCATTAAATACATTATTCAATCATTTATCCAAAATTTCAAAATCTCATATCACATATGATCAATAAAATTAACTAAAATACATTTAAGTTTTAACCCAAAAATTAAAACAAAAACTATACTAATATACTGTCATAATAATGTTAAGAATTATTATGACAATTATCATGACAATTATCATAGTAGAAGTAAAAACTAATAAGTAATAATGTTAATATCACATCAGACATATATAATAGGTAAACTATACTACCATAAACAAATTAAATGAGTCTCTAATGAGTTAGGTCGTGTTCGTGTCTGAATTATGTCAACGTGTATAAAATATACGAGTTAATCAGGTGAAAATCGGGTTGATCTGATTTTGATATAAACCATGCATGATTTTTTTCGTATTTAAGCGTGTTAACTCGTTATAACCTATTAAATCGTTTAATTTTGTGTTCGATTCGTGTCGTGTTAACGTGTTGTGTCGAAAATTGACGATTTTACTCTCAATGGTCATCAAATTATCAATTCAGCATTAAATTCACTTTATTATTAATTTAATGATCTCAATGCTTTAAAATTAAACTTATCCTTTATTATTAATTTAATGATCTCAATGCTTTAAAATTAAACTTATCCATAGGAGGTGTAGATAAAATTTACCCAAATGAACAACATGTCAAATGAAGTAATTTTGTTCCCACCTCAAATCAAGCAATCAATCTTGGGTTATTTCACATCTTGGGTTATTTCACATCTTTGGTTCATGCTCCAAATTTGTTTTGTCATATTTTCCGCTCATCAACCTTCGCTCGTGCCAACTTCTGCTTTCAAACTATTTCAAGTGTTTTAGCGTATTTTTTTTTTGTCCTTTTTGGTATATGTTCTTTAGAATTGTGCTGACTACTCTATCAAATCTAAGACATTTTACTTATAAGAGGATAGAGTTGACCCCTATATCACCTCTAAAGATTATTTTTTAGAATATTCCTGACATTACTGGATCCAAGGATAAAAATTTTCATTTTAATACATTGTTTTGATCACTTAAAAAACTGAAACATTTCGACATGTTTCGAAAACGTTTCGATCCGTTTCAAAAATTAAAAAAAAATTATTATTTTTTCAAAATATTGGTCGAAATAGACCAAAATATCTTAAAATACCTTGTAACATTCCGAAATAATTATGCAAATAAATTGAAATATAACAAAAAATTCAAAAATATTATGGAACATCTCGAAGTATTAGAATTTCGATTCCATCACTAAATCGTTTCGATCTCCTTAAAACGCAAACGTTTCGGATGTTTCAAAACGATATTTTGATCTTTGATTGGACCTATTCAAGATTTAAAGAAACAAGAAAACAAAAAATTTCTAAGAGATGGTGGATTTAAGTTTGGGCCTCCTCTAGAGCCCAAAATTGTTTGTACTCGTTTAAGATGATCCAAAGCATCACCTCTAGACAGCACTTATCGGGCCCGAGCTAGAATGTGGTCCAGTCCATCGGAGCCCGTAATAAACTAACTCGGAATAAGTGGCAATTCGACGTCGACAAGCTCAACACAAATACTAGCTCGAAAAATGGGAGCACGACATCAAACTATTCGCCATAAGTTGTATTACGACACATGGACAAAGGATAAGGGGATAGTACCTGACAATCCTAACGAATGAATACCCATTGGTAGTGGAGATGACTCACGTATTTTATTTGAGACATAGTAGATGCAGAAAAGTGTTAGGAATGACAGACAACAAAACGAAAGAAGAGGGCTAACAATATCACAGAGAGATGGATCCCAGCAGTAACAACTTCGACAAGACTCTGTAAAAGGCTTCCAACCATATCTCTTGTAACATCAATTTTTTTCTCCAAGTAATATAATTCTCAAGGAACATGAGTCACTATTACGATGAATATAACTTTAGTCTTTTCAACTAGAGTGAACCACTCATATCGTTATTTTCATCTTGCATTCAACACTTAACACAGTTTCTATAACACACATTCACGCATTGTTTGGGTCACATCCCAGATTGTTCTATAATTAGGTCTAGTCGATTTCGAGCACCATCAAAATCCATTCTTGACCTTGTCTTTTCACCCTATAGTTCTAGTAATTTGTTTTTGGGAGAGCTCAAGCTATTAAATGATTCATTAACAGATGGAAGAGTTTGAATTTTTCAATGTTCTGAACGTTAATGTTGTGCATTATGCATACATAACCACCACCACCACTACATGAATATAAGAGGAATTGTGGAATATTGGTTAGACAATTAGGTCTGTCAATCGTGTCGGGTGAAGTGGGTTCGTATTAGATTTTAACGAGTTCGTGTCAAAATATTTCACTTATACCTTATTTGTTTATTAATTCGTATCTAAAGAGTTGTGTCATATTGGATTTGTATCGTGTATCAATTATACATAACCTGTATATAAACGAGTCGTGTCAGATATTTTTTTTAATTGACATCGTTTATACTCAATTCGTTTATTAATCGTGTTAGGTTAGATCCACTAATTTATGAAACAGATGACTTAAAGAAGATTCAAACCCATTAATTTTGTGTCGTATTCGCTTGATATTAATAAATTGTGTTATATGCCGATGCCGCCATATGAATAGAAGGGGAATTGTGGAAGGTCGTTCAGCCTGTCATTTAAGTTCAACCTGTCATTTAAGCTATAGATTAATTAGCCTACGCCCAATCCATTTAAAATTTTAAAATAGTCCTCTGCTGCTTGGGAGGAACAGCAGCCCCTGCTGTTCTTAAAACGGCACCGTTTGGTGCCTTTTTGAGGAAAACCAACCAGACCCAAAAACAAGGGCTGAACTACAAAGATAGGTCATCATCATGGGTTGTTTATTTCGGACAGAACATTAGTATTTTCCGTACAAAACAAATTTTTTTTTAAAAAATTTTTAGTTTGTTATATCTTTAAAGACCCTTCTTTGATTATCAAAAATATCACTTACACCCCATTTTATTAAACCACCATTTATAATAAAAAAAAATATCTAAAATACTAAAATTGTCCCTATTTAATCTTAAACAATCTTTCTATATAAAATTATATTAAAATTTGAACAGATTAAAATTTATTTTTCTACATATTAAAATTTGAACAAACTAAAATTTTTTTTTTTTTTTACATATTAAAATTTGAGTTGTTTAAAATTTAATTCGAACTGATTAAATTTTTTTTTTTTACGTATTAAAATTTGAGCCTATTAAAAGTCTTTTACGTATTAAGATTCGAGTCGATTTGAGCTCTACTTGAACTGCGAGTCCCGATTAAAATTTGTT